CTGGCCACGGCAGCCGATAGTGCTGAGTTGGCTGTCAAAGACAAAATCGGGCTGCTCAAGTGTTTGCCTGTCGAGGTTCAGACCCTGGTTCTCGAACGTGCTGGCTTGCGATCCACGGCGGAAGATGACGTCCTGCAAGCCAACGCTGAGCGCGTCTCCAAGCACATTACTGAGATGGTGCGCGAGGCCCGCCTGGCCTGGATCCAAGCTGCTATCCACGAAGACTCCAGCAAGGGCAAGAGCAATGTGCTGCTCCTACCTGAGAAAGATGTCTGGGACCGCATGCAGGTAGGCACTCTGCCTGAGCCGGATCGAGCCAAATGGACTACCGAAGACGAGGTCGACGAAGCCCGCGCAGAACTGCTGAAAGCGGTTTGGTCCAAGGAAGCTGTCCTTCGCAACTATGAGCGGACTTTGGAGTTTGCCGAGAAGTACCAGACTCGGGAACCAAAGAAGGACGCGGTCCGTGCCTTCCTGGCCCTGTTCAAGGAGGAAACCTTGCAACTCTTCGCCCTGCCATCCCTTCAGAAATTCGAGAAGCGCAAAGCTCCAACGTGGACCACCTACTGCTCCGTTGCATACACCCTGGCCTGGCTGGTGTTCAAGGCGCACTGTGACGCAGACTCCTCGGACACGCCGTGACATAGCCGCTCTGGCGACTGGCGCCGACGACAGGCGGTAGACGACTGCCATGTGCATCTCGCACCGGTCTCGACAGCGCTGTGCGCTGGCCATGCACCGACGCCTGTAGAGATGGCAGGAACTACCCGGCGCTTCCTTTTGAATCTGAGTGTAGGTGAGGCTCCTACGCGCCAGCGCAGCTATTGTGAATGGATTGCTCTCGCGCCTGCGGAAAAGATCTGCATTGCGTGTGCTGTTGTGCATGCCAGAAAGATCGGCAGATGAGACGCAGGGGAAGGAGGAAAGAGAGAAGAGAGGCAAAGCGAGAGGAAGAAAAAGAGAGAAAAAGAGAGAGAGAGAGAGAGAGAGAGAGACAGAGACAGAGACAGAGACAGAGACAGAGACAGAGACAGAGACAGAGACAGAGACAGAAACAGAGACAGAGACAGTCAAAGGGTCAGAGAGTCAGACATAGAGAGCAAACACGGGAAGCAGCAACCGGTTCTTTTCACTACTTAGGCAGCATGTCTGCACTGAGCTATTCTTGTTCAAGCTGGAGTCTCGCCGTTCCCCAGTTTAGCCATCTGCCCGCGGCGTCGCAAGTTTCTCATGCAGGATTTCTCGCACACGCAAGACATCTCGAACGCCCCCACGCCGATCCATCTTGCTCCACGTCGCGGTGCTCGCTCACGCAGCCGCAGCCGCTCGGCCACTCCAACCGAACCACGGCGGCGTAGCCAAGAACCAGGACTGGCCCACAATATTTCTGAGAGCGACTGGATAAGATTGCAGGAGGCGCTCCAGCTGCAAGCAGAAGGATTGATGATGGCGCGCTCGCAAGTAGACGCGCTGGAGTGGCGTTTGTCATACAGGCTTGTGGAGCTGGAGGAGGCCTGTCCCGCGCACACAGCTGCCAGTCGCCACGTTGGAGATATGCACGACTACGTGGAGGCTGCTTGCCTCGAGATCAGCCACACTCTGCGTAGGGTGGCCCGCCGAGCGCAGCGGACCTGCGATTTTCTCAGTGCCACATTGCAGCCAAGCTGACGCTATCGAGCGCCCTGTTGACTCTGCAGCCTCCCTATCTTCTTCTACACGCAGTTTTCGTCTTCCTCTGCTTGAAAAAACATGTCGTGTTTGTGAAGGACATTCCATTTCGCATATAAGATTGGACTGCAAACTCTGAGTGCCCTGCCCTCATTTACGTCTGCCTGTATTGGTCTCTTACCGGCCAAAAAGACGACGGGGGGTTCTCATGCAGGACTTTGTCAAAAGTTTATCTTTCTTCGCCCCTACTCAAAGTCCGCTGCCCCGTTATGCGCCCCGGGCATGCCTGGGCCTCGGCCTGGCCAAGCCAGGGTTGCTCCGCCAGGGTTTTTACACACATTCCAGGTCGCCTGCTCACCTCCAGACTATCCCTCCTCCTCGCGCTTGCGAGGCTTCGTCGTCCTTCTGTGAAGGAACCATAACTTAGTTGCTGGCCGGGCTTCAAGGGCCCAGTTGCTGGCCAGGGCTTCAAGGGCCCAGATGCTTCTTCTCTATGAAGGGCCTGCCAAAGTTTATTACGTGCCCCCGCCAGGGTTGCCCCACCCCCCCCTGGCGCTGATGCAGGCAGAAGGGCAGCAGGCCATGGGGCAGCGACTACGCGCTGAGCGCCTGGCCCGCCACAGTGGCCCACGCCAGGTGGCCCCCACCAAGCTGGCCCCGTGCCCCCGCCGTTTGCTGATTCGTCGTCCTTCTCTATGTTGGAAGGACCCTTGCAGAGTGCCCCACCAGGGCGGCCCCCCACCAAGGCGGTGGCCCCACCGTGTTAAAATGTCTGTAAATGGCCGGCCCTCACCAGGATGCCCCTGTGGGCTGACCTGCATGGCCCCGCCAGCGTCGTCGTCCTTCTCTATGAAGGTGTCAGGACTGCCTGGCAGCCGTTAGATGCTTCGTCGTCCTTCCCATGAAGGAAGGCAGGTGGCCCCCCCTGGCCCCGACCTGGATGGCCCCGCCAGCTTCGTCATCCTTCTCTATGAAGGTGCCAGGACTGCCTGGCAGCTGTTAGATGCTTCGTCGAGGCCCCACCAAGGCGAGGCGGCCCCCACCGTGTTAGGCTGTGGGTGGCCCGCCCACACCAGGATGCCCCCCGCCACATCCCCTATCAGGGTGACCCCCCCTGGCCCGGACCTGGATGGCCCCGCCAGCTTTGCCTGGCAGCCGTTAGATGCTTCGTCGTCCTTCCCATGAAGGCAGGTGCCCCGACCTGGATGGCCCCGCCAGCTTCGTCGTCCTTCTCTATGAAGCCAGGACTGCCTGGCAGCTGTTAGATGCTTCGTCGAGGAAGGAAGGCCCCAAAGATGACCCTCGCAGAGTGCCCCACCAGGGCGGCCCCCCACCAAGGCGGTGGCCCCCACCGTGTTGGCTGTGGGTGGCCGGCCCGCACCAGGATGCCCCCGCCACATCCCCTATCAGGGTGACCCCCCCTGGCCCCGACCTGGATGGCCCCGCCAGCTTCGTCGTCCTTCTCTATGAAGGTGCCAGGACTGCCTGACAGCGTTAGATGCTTCGTCGTCCTTCCCATGAAGGAAGGTCCAAAGATGACCCTTGCAGTGTGCCCCACCAGGGCGGCCACCAAGGCGGTGGCCCCCACCGTGTTGGGGTGGCTGTGGGTGGCCTGCCCCCACCGGATGCCCCCCGCCACATACCCTATCAGGGTGGCCCCCCCTGCCCCCAACCTGCGTGGACTGCCGTTAGATGCTTCGTCGTTCTTCTCTATGAATGAAGGTCGTAAGATTACCCTTGCAGAGTGCCCCACCAGGGCAGCCCCCCACCAAGGCGGTGGCCCCCACCGTGGTGGCCGGTCCGCACCGCCACATACCCTATCAGGGTGGCCCCCCCCCTGGACGGCCCCCGCCAGCTTCGTCGTCCTTCTCTATGAAGGTGCCAGGCGTTAGATGCTTCGTCAAGGAAGGCCCCTTGATAGAGTGCAGGGCGGCCACCAAGGCGGTGGCCCCTACCATGTTAGGGGTGGCTGTGGTTGGCTGGCCCCCACCCCCGCCACATACCCTATCAGGGTGGCCCCCTTGGCCCCGACCTGGATCGACCTGGATGGCCCCGCCAGCTTCGTCGTCCTTCTCTATGAAGGTGCCAGGACTGCCTCAGCCGTTAGAAGCTTCGTCGTCCTTCTCTCGAAAGGAAGCCCCAAGATTACGCTTGCAGAGTGCCCCACCAGGGCAGCCCCCCACGAAGCCGGTGGCCCCCACCGTGAGAGGGTGGCTGTGGTGGCTTCCGGTTGGCCGGCACGCCCACCCTGCTACCGGTTGCCACCGCGTTCTGCTGGCGCGTCTGGTGCCAGGATTGCCTGGCAGCCTTTACAAGGAAGGCCAGAGTTGCCGGGGCCAGGTTGGGTGGTCTGCCAGAGATTTGCCCCAGCTTTGCCCTCACTTACCAGGGTTGCCCCCGCCAGGATAGCCCCTGCCAGGTGACCCCACTTGCCCCCCGCCAGCGTTGCAGGGCCCTGCCAAAGTTCTCCATTATAGTCGCCCCCGCCAAGGCTGCCTATATAAAGAGAAAGAGAAAGAAAAAGAGCAAGAGAAAGAGAAAGAGAAGGAGAAAGAGAAAGAGAAAAAGAGAGAAAGAAAGAAAGAGAGAAAGAAAGAGAGAGAGAGAGAGAGAGAGAGAGAGAGAGAGACAGACAGAGAGAGAAAGATGGTCCATGTTCATGATCGAAGGAAGGGTTTGCAGCATTTGTTGCCCGAGCTTGCTTTGTAGTCGCTAGTTCTCGCTTCAACTCTTCTGCCGCCATGGCTTCGGGGACTTGTCTACCTGCAGACGCGGCAGAGACACACCTGCCACCTGCGGGGGTTTTGCTGCCGCATATGCGGCTGCCGCCGACGAACTTGGTTGACATGGCCGTGGCTGGGCCATGTCGCTGGGACGGTCCGCCGTTGCTGTGTCCTCCGGATGGTCTCTGTTTCTTATACGCTTGGCTGGCAGCCCGTTTGCCCGAGGAATGGGCTGCCGTGCAGAAAGACGACCACGGATTCATCTGCGACCCGGAGGAACAGCAAGTCTGGAAGGCCAAAGCGCAGAGTTTGCTAGACCCAGTCCTGGCGCTGATGGAAGCAGAAGGGCAGCAGGCCATGGCGCGGCGAGTGCGCGCTGGGGGCAGCCCAGGCGATGAGGAGTTCGCGTTCTTCGCGAAGGCTCTGGGCGGGGCGTTTCTCGTCACGCCCATGGAAGTACCATCGGCGGTACCGTGCATCTACGGCCAGGGACACGTGCACTGTGAGCTAGGCTTCGTCAACAGCGTGGATGCCGCCGGACACTCTGCAGGACATTACATTCTCTTGCGGAGCTGGGCGCCTGGCCCGAGCGCTTACGCCAGCCAGGCCATGCCCATTGCCACGGCTCGCCCAGCCTACGTTATTTCTCTGGACAACTCTGACACGGAGACGAGCCATGCCGGCTCTTCTGCCACGTGTTTTTCTTTCAACGACAATAGCAGCCCCCTCTTTGACGACGACGGTCTGGACTGCGAGCCGGAGAGTCAGGGCGAGACTGAAAGCCCCCCTGCCCGGAGGAAGGAAAATTCACTCGCAACCTTGGAACCCGGATCGCGCTCGAGGCCCACCGCAGGCAAGACACGCGGGAGCACAAGTAGCGCGCATGACTGCTTGCAGTCTGCGGACTCGGCAGACGCTCCTGTAACTGCTTCCGTAGCTTTCGGAGATACCACACGAATCCTGAAGATCAGGCCTCAGTGGCTACACCTCATTCTAGCAGGGCAGAAAACACTGGAGATACGTGGGTCCCCATGCCCGCACGTGGGCTGGGTGACGCTGGCTGCAGTCGAGCTCGATTTGGCACCAGCCACCGCCTCACCGACGAAGAGAGGAGAGCCAACTCTCAGGCACTTTCAAAGCTCTCCTACAGCCACGCTTGGGCTTGGCCCATCGAGGAACTCAAGCTGCTGCCGAGCCCTATCAGAATACCGCGATGGGTCGCCCGTGCTTCGGTGCAATGGATTACTCGAGAGCGTTGGGAGGCCTTCGACGCGCAACGGCTCGAATCGCAGCGTCTCCCGTCCGCCGCAGCGAACCCGCAGGCAGGGGGCGAGCCTCCGGCTAACATAAGAACCACTCACGCTCTGCCTCGCATTTTCTACGCAGAATGCCCGAGCATGGTTGCGCCCCTGAGAACTGAGGCCGTGTGGCCCCGGATCCGACCGCAGGCAGCCTTCGGGAGCCTGAGAACGACGTTGGCGACGCCGTGCCTGACATACGCAGAGTGTCCGCAAAGGAAGCGGGGTCAAGCGGAGATGTGCTCTGGCACCGATGAACCGTGCGTGTTCAGCGCGCGACACCCTGGCCTGCCAGCGCGGCGTCCGCGGGAGTCGCCTCGCTGTACTTTCTGCAACGAGCCGGCCCTGGCAAACCTTGCCTCTACACCTTCTGGACGCGGCAAATTGACCCGCGCATTGAAGGCGTTCCGACTTGCAACTGACGAGAGGACCTACCATCGGGCCCTGGAGCGCCTACGTCGGGCGGCCCCTGCTCAGGCTGAGCAGATTTGTGCGCGCGCAGCCCTGAAGAAGCGGAGACGGCCACAGCCTGGTCTGGAGGGGAACGGCCGTCCGTGAGCTGACCCATCCATCACGCCATGCCGGAGCACTACAGTTTCACCCCCCACCTTGTTAAGAATTCAGTGCATTTCAGCGCATGTCTATATTCCATGCGCACTAGAGACGACTTCCTTCACCGGCCCGTGCGCGCGAGGCAAACAAGTCTGCTCTGCGCGCAGTCACAGCATTCGGGAGAGAGGGGAGTAGATAGATAGATGGATACATAGAGAGAGAGAGAGAGCACACAGCGTATAACCCAATATTAAGTATAGCTAAATATATGTCCATCTTATATATATATATATACATGCATGTTTCAGTCTGATTGTTCCTAAATTCGCATGTCCGTACCGATAACTGACAGCTCAAGCCTAGCAGGGGTGTGCAGACCCTTACCTTTTCTCATGGCCTTGGCACTTGCTGCAGCGGCTGCAGATGCGCCGGGCGCGCTCCTGCCACATATGCGCCTGCCCCCTGCGGCGGCAGAAACCATGGAGGTCGCCGGGCCCTGCCGCTGGTCCGGACCGCCCCTGAACAGTCCACCTGACGGCTATTGCTTTCTTTGGCTGGCTTCTCTCGAGCCCGAGAGATGGCAAGCTGTCGCGAAAGACAGCATGGGTTTCATCGTGGACGCCGAAGAAGAAGGGATCTGGAAGGCAAAGGCCCGCAGCCTTCTGGACAAAGTCTTGGCTTTGATGGAGAGCGAAGGTGCACACGACATGGCGGGAAGTCTTCGACGCGGCGCCTATCCCGGGGACGAAGAATTCGCCTTTTACACGCGAGCCTTAGGCGGGGCCTTCCTTCTGACTCCACTAAGCGAAGATAAGGCCTTTCCTGTGATTCATGGGGAGGGCCCTGTGCACTGCGAGCTTGGCTTCGTGTTTAGTACTGATGGAGCCGGCTACTCTTCTGGCCATTACGTGCTGCTGCGAAGCTGGGCGCCCGACCAGAAGATTGCACAGCCAGCCGCCAGGATGTCGCTGTCGGACTCGGACTCGGACTCCAACGCAAAGCTTCATTGCCCTCCGGAGAGAGCTGGGGCCCCACCCCTCGCTGATGACGCCGCCAGTGAGACGGATGACGACGCAGCCTGTCACACAGACGAGGGCGACAAGTACGTCTCCGAACATCCCAGCAGCAAACTTGACGACAACGCAGATAATGCCCAGGACGGCGAAGCGTCCAGGTGTGCCGACGCGGAGGGCGGGTCCACGGCCAAGCTCCAGACCACAGTGGCTGCTGCTTGCTGTGATTCCCAGCTAAAGGAAACTCCCAACAGTGACGCGCGCAGCGGCAGCGGCCTTCTGGACGGCGCAGGCGATGCCCGGGACGGCGAAGCGTCCAGGTGTGCCGATGCGGAGGGCGGGTCCCCGGCCAAGCACCAGACCGCCGTGGCTGCTGCTTCTGGCGCGGCGCCCTCCAGCTGTGATTCCCATCTAGAAGAAACTTCACCAACGCCGACAGACAAGCGAGGCAAGCAGCTGCAGACGAGCACGTGGGCCACGGCTGCGATGGCATTTGGACGCACGAGCAGGATTCTGAAAATTAGACCCAAGTGGCTTGGACGCATCCTGTCCGGCGAGAAAACGATAGAGATACGCGGAGAGGGCCTGTCCGCACGAAGGTTGGGTGACGCTTGCAGAGGTCAAGACACGAAGAATCCTAGCAAGGGCTCGAATTGGACGGAGCCGCCGCTTGACAGAAACAGACAGGCACGAGAACCACGAAGCGCTCCGAGAAATTTCGTACCCAGCGCCGTGGGCGTGGCCACTGGAGGAAGTCGAGGTCCTGCCTGCCCCGATCAGCATTCCCAGCTGGGTGGCGAAAGGCTCCGTGCGATGGATTACTCGCGAGAGGTGGGAGGCTTTCGACCGCGACCCGGGCCTCGAGGCGGCTCCATTCACCCCAACTGCATGGGCTGCGCGGCAATCGAAGAGGCGATCGGCCGAACAGGGCTGCGAGGATGCAGCCCCTCAGAAGAAGCCCAAGCAGACAATGGCGCGGAAACGCTACGCGGCCGAGCTCTGCTCCACGCAGTCATGCATCTTCAACCCGCAGCGCCCGGGCTCGGCAGCGCGGAGGCCACGCCTGGCCAGCGCGTGCGCGTTTTGCAGCAAGGCGACGATGCAGACTGCGGCCGGTACGCCAGCCGGGCGAGGTCGTCTGACCAAAGCTCTCAAAGCATTCCGCACCTGCAGCAACGGCACTGTGCACGAGAGAGCCCTGAAGCGTCTCCGGCACTGGGCACCTGCCCACGCTGCGCGAATAGAGAAATCGGCTAGCGCGCCTAAACGCCACAAGCCTGTCGAGGGGGGCCAGTGTGCCAGTGACAGTGCAACGTGGGAAAGCTGCAAAGCTCGCCGCAGGCACGTTGCGGCACCTCCCGATGGCCCGGCCAAGAAGGTCTATCGTTCCGCAGTCCTGGCGGATCAGCGCTACGCGAAGAAGCGATTCTACCCAGATGCACCACGGCGCGCCCGAGCGTCAGGGTCGGAACTGCTCGCACCCGTCGACAACGACTGCGACCTCCCACCGGCGAGCCGCTCCGATGTTTCCATCGGCCTGCAGCGCTGGTGCACAGAGGGGGCCTGGGGAATGTGTACAAGCTGTCAGATGCTGCAGATGCGCCCGCTGCGACCTAGAGACCTGCAAGCAGAGGAACACAAGCCCGAGGTTCCTCGTTCCAGCTGCCGCCGCTGCGGCGCGAAACATCCGCACGTGGTGCCGCGCCCAGAGGACGTGCCGCTGCCATTGCGCGAGCTGCCCCACGACGTCGTCCAGGCACTTCGCCCTTTGACGATCGACGTGGGGCCGGTCACCCGCGCGGACAACGGCTATCGCAAAAAGGTTCGCATGACGACCTTTTCTTGGGGGCTGGAGAAGGTCGACGTGAAAGTCGAGAAACTACCTAAGGAGTCACGACGCCTCGCGCGTGCTGCGCTGAAGTTTCTGCGTCGGTCGTCGGACAGTCTGTATGGGCATTTTTACGATCGCCACTGCTCCTTCTTGGACCAGAACGCTTCTGGGCCCACCCCGGAGGTGGCTCGCAGACCACTCCAGTTCATTGAGGAGCCTGGCCTCGAGAACGCTCTCTGGCCGCACTTGTATTGGGATGCTAATATGTGCGAGTCTTACGAGCGCCTCAATCGGCGCCGCTTCCGGCAGCTAGCCGCCACCGAAGATCCGCAGGGCCAGGCCGAGACTAGCGATGCCGACGAGGCAGAAGATGTCGACGATCGCCGTCACAGCATCAAGCGTTCCTTCCTCTGCAAACTGCTCAGTCCCCTCCTTGGGTATGGATCCGACTTCGAGCTTCTGCAGTTCGTGTATGACCTGCATCTGTGGACGGATCTGGGAAGCAAGCGCAACGTGGCGGACGGAACCGCCATGCGGATCATGATGCGCGGACACCCGATGTCTCCGCTCTACTGGAAAGATGTGAAGAACGGCCTGCATGACCTCGTCCGCCAGATAGGCTACCCTCACCTGTATTGGACGCTGGCACCTTACGAGCGCAGCTTTCCGTACCACGCTTACTTGCTCGACGAGATGCAGAAGCTGCTGCGCGAGCGAATGCGACTGCCTGCCTTCGAGTGTCTGCACCTCACGCACACGATGCTGCAGGTAACTCGCAGTCTTCTGGCCGGGCGCGGAAGGCATCGCGGCACGGGCTGGACTCGGCATCTGCTGGGGAAGGGGCAAGGACTAGACGGCGTGCATTTCTTTACGCGCATCGAGTTCCAGGATGGATCCAAGAAAGCCGGTACACAGCAGTATCACGGCTCGGGCCGTCCACATGTGCACGCACTGTTCTGGCTGCGAGATCCTGCGGCAGTTGACCTGGGGTCAATCGCAGCAGCAACTGAAAATCTCCCAGAAGCCGAGAACGATCTCGCCGCATTCGTTCGAGGCTCGCAGCGTGATGATGCCGGCGAGAGCCGCTGGCCGGTGCATGACGGTCCGCCGCAGTTTGACCCCGTCACGGGTGGCTGGACCCTTCCTCACACGCCGGACGACGCCGACCAGGGCGTTCGCGGGTACTTCCTCGACATCATGGACGCTCTGCGCTGCCATCAGGACTTACAGTGCAGACAGGGACGTGGTCTCTTGCTGGCGTACGTGGCCAAGTATGTGGCCACATGGTCCGACTCCTCGTACGACGAGTGGATGTCGGACGCGAGCAGCGTCACGAGCCTGTGTCGGAAGATACTATTCGAGTATCACCCGCTCGAGCCTGAGATGGTCCTGCAGCTGACGCAAGGTTTGCGTCAGTGGGAGTTTGGAACTGTCCAGACTGGTCGCCGGTCCGTACGTGCGCCGCATCCCTGGGACGAATCAGCTCAGCAGCCCTTGTTCGTACAAAAATACATGGACTGCGCCTGGCGTGGGGAGACCATGTCCCTGCTGGAGTATCTGCGTAAAAGTGGGCCGCACGGTGAGATCGCTGCATGGCTGCGGCAGCGACACGAGGAGGCGCAGAATGCTGGCACGCAGGTGGACCTGGAAGAATTCGTGCGAGGGTACATGATGCGTGGAGAGCAAGTCGTGGCAGTCGATTATTTGTGGCGGCTGAATGACCGCTTCTTCGGTCAATGGTGCATGATGCACCTGCCTTTTCGATCCTTGGAAATCTTCCGGACCGTCCGGGGTGTAGACAGTGTTCCGGATCGTTATCGTGGGTTTGCCACGGCTCTTCTGCTCACAGACAATGCCGATGGTCCACATCGGGGGCACTGGCGTGATCTGGGTAACTTGGTCCGGGACATGCAGTTGGAGGGGCACACGGACGCAATTATCCGGGACACACGGCTGTTTTTGGAGGCTGTCACAGTCGCTGTGAACGCATACATCGACGGCCGCATCGACAAGACGGAGGAAGACAGTGTGGGCAAGCCTGTGGAGCAAGCTCGCCTTGGCCTGTTCGAAGGCCAGCAGCTGCTGTTTTTCAACGCCATACAGGAGCGAGTGACTCGCTCCCTGCAAGCACAGCAAGCGACGGACGACACAGACGTTGAACGCATCTTCTCGCAGCTCCGGGATCTGCAAAACCGGCCCTTGATTTGCTCCGGCAGGCCGGGCACGGGGAAGACGACGGTGGCCTTGGAATGTGCACAGTGTGCACTGGCCGATGGCGCGGCAGTGCTGGTGACCTGTCCCACAGCTCGGATGGCAGGCCGCGTGCGCCAGCGGCTTGGCGAC